CCAGAGGCTTGTGGGTAAAAAGGATGGACTCAACATAGAAAACTCTGGGGATGTTTCTGACATTTCTGATTGTTTGAATTGTAATATTTGTAGCATTGCAAGTGGACCAGCTCCACCAATATGCAAATGAAAGTGATTCTAAATGGATATTTTATACAGTATGGGTGAGTCTATAATTTGCATGTAGCTAGAGGACCAATGCTAGAGATGCACCAATCAAGATTTTGGGGACTCGATTGCCAAAAGCAGTATCTGCCAATGCCGATATTACCGATCCGATGTACCACTATCCTCCTTCCACCTCCAGCTCCTAATTTCAATTCAGTTTATTTATATAGCGGCAATTCACATCACATGTAATCTCAAGGCACTTTACAGTTCACCAGATCACCCAGTCAAATTGATTCAAAGTTTTCTATTTAAGGAAAACCAGTTGATTGCATCATCTCATTGACTCGAATGCAATCCCTCACTCTAGGCATGCTTGTAGTGACAGTGGAAAGGAAAAACTCCCTTTTAACAGGAAGAAACCTCCAGACGAGCCAGGCTCAGTGTGAGCGGCCACCTGTCGATGCCGAGTGGGGTTCAAGGAGACAGAATCAGAGATACAAAAAGTAACTGTAAAAGGCGGCCCCGTCCAGGAAACGCACAGCCAGGCAGACGAGCTCCGAGCCAGCTCCCATGTCAGAGGATGAGGAGAGCACATTTGGTAACTCTGTTAAAGTCCTGTTTAGGTTCCTTTAGAAATGTTATGTTTGAGCTTCTTACTCAGAGTTTAGTTTACTGGAAGTTGAATCTTACAAGCTGTAACATAGGGGGGCTCAGGAATTTCCTAGTTTACAAGAAGTGAGGGAGGAAAGAAGGGGGAGTGGGTGACTATCCAGCTGCAAGTCAGGAGATTTTTTAACAAATTTATTAAGTGTGGTAGATTTAAATCAAATGTATTGGATACTTATGTTAAGCGCTGCAAAGTTATAGACAAAGTATAAGACAGAGTTGTGTTATCTGCAGAAATACTCAATGTCTCAGATGGAGAAAAAGCTGAGAACAGAGAGGTAATCAACTGATTTGTTGCAAAGTGTGGAAATAATCATCTGATCCTGAATCTCAACAAAGTAAGGGAGATAACTGTAGTTTTCAGAAGAAGCAGGAACAAGTTGAAACTTATTAACATCACATGAGAAGAAGTGGAGGTGGAGGAGCATAAATACCCTGGTTTTCACCTAAACAAAAAACTCGAACAGAGATGCAACTGTAAAGCCGTCTATAAAATAGGGCAGAGCAAACTATAGCTACTTACTTAGGAAGATCCTACATATCTTATTTATATGTCTGTTGGGGAGAGTGCGATCTCCTCCTCCATCATCTGCTCGCGTAACAGCATCAGACCTAATGACCAATAAAGAAGGCGGGCTCTGTTCTAAGAATTCCTCTTAAACCTCTGGAGATTGTTTCACAAAGAAGCATTCTTCATGGAGTGAAGAACATGACGTTTAGAATCCTCTTCAGACAATTCTAAATGTATGTATGTATGTGTGTGTGTGTGTGTGTGTATGTATGTATTATTTGATAAATCCCATTACCGAATTGTTTCAACCCTACTGTAAACTAAACCTGGAAGTCTGTATCTTAGATAACCTTTAGCATTTTTGTTCAGATGCTGGAATACCTCATTTTGAGCCAATTTTCAAAGGAGACTTTTGGCTATGTGCCCTGAACAGCAAAAATTTTCTAAGCATTCTTGTCACATCTGACTTTAGATAATCTGGGAACTGACAACGACTCATTCAAAGGGCAACCACAATGGCAGGTCTTTCAGGATTATTAAAGCACTCATGGCAGAATGTGGTCTGCTATAGATGTTAATCTTTTCCCCGCCATGCGGTGCCTCCAATCACTGTCAGACTGCATGTTGGCTTCAGCGAGGCGCTGTAAAATAATACATTTAAATCATAAAGGTCACCTGCTGGTGAACCAGTTTTTTCCCCCTTTTAGGTTGAAACAACAAAATCATATGCTGCTTTTCTGTCTTCTTTCAGTTAAGTTCTAAAAGAATTTATTGGATGCCATCTTTGAACAGTCTGAAGGCCATTTAGCCAAGTGATTCTTCCATCCCTCTCTATTGTAATAGGCTCCCTTGTCCCTCAGTGGCTAAGGTAACCGCACTAGTATCCTTGGAAAAAATTAACAGCCTTTAAAACTAACTACTTCACCTTATTAAGTGTGGATATGAGACTTGTCCTGTCATATTCATCTTTGAAAACAGAGGTAAACTCTAAAACCGATTTTTAGGTTATCTATGAACTATTCTAAGATTTTAATTTATTTTACTGTATATAGAATACTAAAATATGACTTTGTAGCATGTGATAAGCACCATTAAATTACATGATGGTTTGGTTCTCAGATTGTTGTTGATCTTCTGTTTCCAGCTTTTATCAGATGGGTGCAAATGCCTGAGCATTAAGTTCACAGTACTATTCACTGCAGGCAAGATATGTTTTTCAATGTCTTGGATGAACTCCTTCAGGTTTTCTTTTTTTTTCCTTTCAAAACAAAGGAAAATCCTACAAACAACAAAGCAAGTTTTTTTTTTTTTTTCCCACAGACTGTGAAGCCATCTGACTATAATGGTTGGCTTAGATAAGCAATCTGGGATTTTTGATGTATTTTTCTTTTTTTTCAAGAGAATGCATTATTTTTTTAAGACATAATTCTCTTTACAAATGAGCTTTGTGAAATGTCCCACAGTTCTTTCACACCTAACAATTTAACCCTTTAAGCAATGCTCAAGTCTGGTGCCCTGAGCAGATCATCCCACTGGGAACCCAATCTAGAACCCTGAAAAAGATCTTAAAGCCACACCCAGGTATTTGTTAACACAGCTGGTCTTTGTATGGTTTATTCAAACCCTGAAGCAGTTAGTCTGCATTGTAAGTGCATTCCTGTCCCTGTTTACCAAAACAATGAAAGGATAGTTACATGAAAGCAGTAGCTTTAAATAGTTGAAGAAAAGGCAATTAATATGTATAATTTAAAGACAAAATATAGAAAATATGGGGTTATATAGCATAGGAAAAATGAAAAGGTGCACAGCTACATGTAACAATAGAGCAGCAACAGCGATCTTAGAAGATAGACTTTCTTCTGTAGGCTTTTTTTCATAACACTGGAGCAATATCCCTGAAACAATATGTTGCAAATGTAATATGATGTTTGGCTGTGTTTAAAAGTAGTCTTTTTGAGGCAAACTGCACTAACTGAAGGTGTGCAGTTGTCCAGGTGCAGGTTTTCCCACAAATAATCCATCGACCAGACCAGCAGTGCAAACAAACCCATATTTCAAAAACACCAGGTCGCAAAGATTAAACATTTAATTTTCATTCTGTTAGAAGTGTTAAAGGTTTCATGCTGTTTTTAGAACTCACGGTATTACTCCTGTTTTAGCTTTCAACTCAGCTGTAATCTAACTTCATTAGATTCTTTTTCAGAAGTTAAATGCAAAGATAAAACAAACAGAACAATGTTCTGTTTGTTTTTTCGATTTGTAATGCTCTGTCACCCATGCACTTACTCCTCCAGTTGCCATCCTGCTTCATCTGTTTCAGAAGCTAGAAATTTTACTTTCTGTTTATTTTCCATAGTAATGTTTGTCTCATGCACCAGTGCAGCGGCGTCCTGCTAACTGACACACTGCAGGGTCTCGTCTCAAGACTTTGGCAGATGTTTTCCTTCCTCTGAAGCTCTGCTGCTGAAAGTCATATTATCAGAACTTGCGTCATTTGACAGGATAAAAAAAAAAAGTGATTATATGCTATGGTTCCCTCTGCTGTTATACATAGAAAAGCTACTGTCTTGGCTTTCAAATGTATGAAGTTTAGTCACTTTACCTTCTTTTTCAAACTGTAGAAAGAAATACTTTATAGAAGCAATAAATTTGCACCGGTGGTGAAGCTGATAGGGGACTTGAACAAGGGTCAATATGTGACGAGTTGGGAGGGAAACTTTATCAGATGGATAAGAGTCATGTGCCCATGAAGGAAGGTGCATCAGTGTGGTATAACGTCATGTAACATGAGAAAATGTACTTTTCTTCCATCTACTAATATAATAACTATAATATATTTCAAAGCATTCTGAACTATGGGGACAATATATCTGCTTAAAACTTTCCTTGGTGTGTTTTTTTACACATTTTTTTTGTTTTTTTTTTGTGGTTAGCAACTAATACAGCCCTAAAATGTCACCTAAGCATAATATTAATATAATCAATATAAAATTAATCAGTAAACTAATTTAATAATGCAGAGATGGTCGTGTTTTTTTGTCTTTTCGTTCTTGTGTGGTCAGACAGTTAATTTGGCAGGATGTGATAACAGTTGTTTACTGGTTTAACTTTCATTCCCGGTTCTTTATCTAACAGCTGTGTTAGTCCGCTTCTTTCACTTTCACAGCACGTCTAATGTACCCCAGCACTAGACCTCTAATTAAGAAGTGGATGTTTTCCCCCTCTGGTGAAACCAGTGTGCGTGTTGTTAAATTTGAGTTTGTAAGGAGAGAATGTTGTTGAATTTACTGGTTCTTTTTGCTTTCAATGCAAAGGTTTCATGCTGGGTGCCTGTTGTGAAGGGTTATATTAAAACTGCTAATATGGATTTAAAAATAAGCAAGACACAAGGATCAATATTGCACGCTTGACTTTTAACAAGGTCTTGGAGCCTTAAATGTGCATCTGGTGGTGCTCCATTGCATAAAAACAAGAAATTAGGAGGATGGACCTGCATTACGCATGCAGACACTCTGATTAGGAACCATCTGTAGATTTAAAACAGAGATGCCTTAATGTGTATTGGGTGATCCTTTTCATTATTTCAGAGAATGACTTCTGGTCTTTGTGATTCCAAAAAGTGGATTTTTTTATTTGCCATAAGAGAAGTAGAAACGTAGGAACCCTTCTTTAGCCCTCTGATTCACAGTACAAAGCAACAGGTGGGGAAGGGGCATTATCACATTATTTTGTGTATCACTAATCTGGTATAAATTCAATTGTTCTGACTCTTTATTCGTCATCTGATCAGAGAGACTTAAAAATATATATTAAATAATTCTTTAAATATTATAAATTTACTAAATGTATGTAAACTTAATACATTGTAACCAGCCTATGCATATAAGCCATTGAATAGTCTGACTTGCTGTTACACAGTTTTAACTGCTGTGCTGACTTTAACCTTATCAGACTCGTGCTTGTCAAGGTATTATTACCTTATTACTCCAAATATTGCATGCATCTGCGGTGGTGTTACTTGCATGATTGAGCTCTATCATCCATTTATGGCCACATCTCTGGACAGAAAGCAAGACCAATAAGAAAGACCTCTCCCTCGCTCATTGCCTGGACTATAGTCCATGTGTCGCGTGATGAGATTACCGTCACCCTGCATGCTCAGGTATTGACAACCTCAGTGGTTCAGATTAGCTATCTTTGCCATCTGTACAAGCGTGGTAAAATGGAGCAAATATGAAATACAATAGGTTTCTGTCTTTTCTATTAGTTTTCCTGGAGGCTGCCAATATAAAACACGGACCATAAGCAGGAATGGAGTTAAAGATTAAACTCTGTCACAGTCTGAGTGATACGGTTACTCATGAAAATAGCATACACACACCCATAAATAAATATATAAACAGTTTATAGAATCAAGTCTTCTATGGTCATCCATCAGCCGGTACCACTGCTGGTGAAAATGACTTCAGCTGTGATTGTGCAGAATCATTGTGAGGGGTCCTTTTTAGATCCTTTTTTCCTTTCCCAGCCTGGATCCCCAAGAGGAGCCTGAGGCAAAAGAGAGAGAGATAGATAAGAGCAATGCAGTGGAAACAGTTTTGGGCTCGGCTACTTCTGTTGTTGGCTTGTCCTCTGTTCACCCTCTGCATTTCTGTTTGGGCAGATTCCGCTGGTTGAACAAAGCTCAACATGATAAGGCAGAAAAAAAGAACCCTGCCAAGGAAGAGCAACTTTAAGTTGAGGCGCTAGTTTGGGATTTTTTAGTGATTCAGAGCAAATGGGTTAATATGAATCCAAAAGGCTCAGGTACAGCTGCACTGATTTATTACTTGAATAATTTTTGGTGGAAACGTGTTTTTAAACCTCACCTCTGGTGACCTGGCAGCAAATTGTAACGTATTTGCTTTTAAGGAAAAAGATACAGCGGTGGGCTGAATGGACGCCCACTCTGTCACTATGATTAGTTGGAGGGTAGTCGGTAGACCACATTGTGTAATTTGGCTCAGATGCGTTTGAGAACTTTGCTGCCAAATTGTGAATAAGAAGCTTTTCTGCAACTTATCACACAAATGATAAGCTGTGATAGCTGTGTGCTGTTTGGCAGTTTCATTTCCTTTGGGTCATACCCTATACTCTGTGTTGGAAAACCTTGTGTGAGCTTGCTTTGTTATTTTCCCACTCTGCTCTGTTCTGTTCCCTCTGGTGATGATGCATGGTGCTTGTCAAAAATTGAGCAATACAGCATCGGAGAGACGGGAAGAAATAAATAGCCAGAACGATAACCACATGTTCAAGCAGAGGCTGAAGGTGTGTAAGTGTACTTTATTCCTTCACTTAGGAAGAGAAGTCAAGCGTCCTGACGTTTAGCTATGTGTAAACTTTCTTTCCTCCACCCATTTCTTAAAAGCCTACTGCTGGTTGTTCTTTCCTTCATCTACCTTATAAGGGGCGGATGATGGAGGCAAAAAATTAATGCAAATAAAATCCAAAAACACATAAAAAAAACATACTTTTGAAGACTAGTAAACTAGTCAGGTCATCAGTTCTCATTGAAATAAGTCATATTCAGCTTTCACTGCACATTACTATAGCGTCCAATTTATGTCACAACTAAACAAAAGCACTAGTGAAAATGAACTGGCTCACATTTCCCTATGTTTTCAGTTTTAACTGCTTAGTTGTATCTCTTATCTGCTTAGCTGAAAAATATCGTTATCAAGCCTTGCTTTACCAGGACCTTGCGACAGCATTATAATCAAGAATACAGTTCCTTTTCCTTTCATAGTACTGAGCGCAACGTACTGCAGGAATTGTGGTGTATCTATGACAGCTGAATGCACATCATTTGAACATATATATAAGCCAGCTTAATGCCAACTTTCCCATACCCACATCTGGACTGCTTCAACAACTTTATTGAAATCCTTTTGGGACTGTGGCTTACATGCACTCGGCTTCCTGCCCTGTCTCTAGATGCAGCCAAGAAATTATCAAGTATGAATATAAAAATGAATAATTCATGAGATTAATGTTTTTCTGGGGTCCTGGCTTAGAAAAATGTTTCACACCACTAAATAGCACATACAGACTATATGGTGGAAGCTAGAAAGGCAAGTTAATGATTAATCAATGAAATTAGAATGATTTAGATTATCCACTAACAATTAATTGAGCATTCATTTCTTAAAAAACATTTTTTTCTTGTTTTAAAAGGAACTTTATAGAACATGAACAGCTAAATATTTTCAGAAATATTCTTAATTATCATTATATTTTAACAATTATTTCTGCCATCTGTATAAATAGAGCCTTGATCACCAAATAGATGTTTTATCAAACATTATTCATCTTAGACATTTTAGTAGGTAGTTTACCAAACACGAAACTCTTAGTTTACTGAATAAAAAAAAAGAATGAAACATTTATTATTTCAAATGTTCACAGATATAAAGTTAGCCTTCGCATGTGTCGCTGTGATATACTTCCAGACTATCGGCAGACTACAGTCAAACGCTTTTTTATGTTAACAACAAACTTAATAACATACCATGCCAAATATCTTGCAGGTAGCAGTCAGGCTCCACTATTGGATGGTGGTAATACTACAACATTGAAAGAAGTTCCCTCTAAGTTGAGATTACCAATTAGTCACCTGGAACAAATATTATCCTAGTACACCATCCATCCATCCATCCATCCATCCATCCATCCATCCATCCATCCATCCATCCATCCATCCATCCATCCATCCATCCATCCATCCATCCATCCATCCATCCATCCATCCATCCATCCATCCATCCATCCATCCATCCATCTTCTTACGCTTATCGGGGATCGGGTCGCAAGGGTAGCAGCTTCAGTAGGGAGGCCCAGACCTCCCTCTCCCCAGCCACTTGGGCCAGCTCCTCTGGAGGAACCCCAAGGCGCTCCCAGGGCTACTCTGAGTCCTCCTAGGATGACTGAGCTTCTCACCCAATTTCTAAGGGAGAGTCCAGACACACTATCCGAATCTAATACACCACTATTCAAAAATTAATCATAGGTCAATTACTTGTTTATGTCCCTTTACGGAAGTAGATTTCAATTCACATAATTCAAATACTGAGAGAACCTACATAATTGCCTTGTAATGCCATGGCAATCCACACCCAAATTGAATGAATATGTGAACTAAAATACTGAAATAAAGGAAACAGAAAATGTTTAAATAACAATACAAAGAAACATTTAAATCAAATTTAAATAGATAGCTACAAGAACTATGAAAGAGAAATATTCAAAGATCAATGTACCTTCTCATCTGTGTTTTTATCCAAAAATAAACAGAATTCTTAAAAAATATTTTCTTTGGATATAATTCAGGGACTTCATTTGTTAGAAATTAAAAAATGTTTAGTATAACCTGTGAGCTGGAAGAAATAAAATCTTGATAGTTAGACAAAGGGATTTTTTGATGCTTGGCAGAGGATGATCAGCCACATAGTGTATTAAGTAGCGAGGGCAGGAAGAGCCATACTGCTGAGAGCGAATCATCAGAGTGGAGCATAGAGTTCAGCAAAGCTAAGCGCACGCAAAGACGCATTTCTGCACAAGCACAGATGGACGATCAGTTTGTCAGACTTCAGTGCACAGTACCGGTGTTCTGTCAGACACCAGGACTATTCTGGATTATTTTCACTCTGCTGCTGCTGACATGATCCATCTGTGGTCCTGCAGAATGAGCACCGCTGCACGGCAGGTGGGCTAAGTGATCAAACAGGAAGCAGCAGCACGCCTGATACTGCTTAGCAGATTACAGCACAATGACGCAGTTTAAATGTTTGACCAACCACCTGCTAATTTTTATTAAGTCTCGTCTCGTTGACTAAAACTCACATCAATAACACTCAAGTTTAAAAAAAAAAATATTCATGTTTAGCTCGTCAGTTGTTGTTATCGTCCTGAAAAAAAGCAGCAGCAACACTAGTTGTAGGTGTTGATTGCTGTCATTTTTTCATTGTCCTTTTTTCAGAAGTTTATTAAACATCATTAATAAGAAAACAGTTTATAGCTAGACTTTTTTTTTTTTTTTTTTTACAGTAATTGCCCTTCCTTTTCTGCCTTTACAATAAAACAAGGTATCCAAATGAGGCCACAATACAGCAATGGGTGAATTATATAGGAGATCCTGGATCCTGTTATTTTTTATCAAGTATAAAGTGGGGCTTATATGCAAAACATAACTCTGGCCTTATAGATTTTTAAATAATAAGCTGAGTTTTTAAGTGGAGGCTTGCAGTAAAGTATATCTGAAGAATCTTTTCTTTTTTTAATACCGTTTTTATAGTGCAGTGATTTATATGCTCACATCTCGGGTAGTCAGCTACACTTTTTAATTGGTTACAGCAGAATAATTTCTCTGAAATATGCAGAGAATTAGTCATCTAAGGTATATCAGTGAAGCACAGAAATATGAAGTTATTCCAAAAAGATGGATGCAACAAATGTTAGTTAAGAAATGGACAAAGACAAAGAGGGTAATTTAGAGTGCAGAGCAACAACAAAGGAGCAATAAAGTGCAGTCCAGATGATGAAGCACCCACCCAGTGCTCTGTAAACAAACTTAAACTGGAGTTTCACTTGAGCGAGTACGGCACCTTTGTTTTAATAATCCCTTTATAACAGCCTCATGTCTGCGATAACACAGATGAGTTGGCCATCCATTAATGGCAGCTCTGGGTGACTCATATTACCCATTTGCTATCTTTACCTCAAAGACACAAACCAGGATGGATTGAATAATAACACATGGGTCATTTGGCTTATGTGGGAGGTGGCAAAGCCTACTATTTACTTTGGTGGCACTTAAGTGAAGAGCTTGGCAGTTGAAAGATAAACAATTGCTTACTCTTATTTGCAGGTTTCTCACAGGATAAATGAGCTATGTCCTCCAGGGAGGCTCAAATTACTGCTGTGTAGCTGCAAATGTGTTTCCTTTGGGGAAATCGGGGACCTCACAGAGCATCCTCTCCTGAGGTAATCATTATCATTTCTGTCAGGAGCCTGTTAGGCCACCTTCATTGCTTTAGCCATCCATGTCCTTGGGGTACACACTGAGCTGCCAGTCACCCTTTACTGACTGACAATTTAGCAAAAAAGCCAGTTTGAGTCGACAGGCAGGCAAACTGTGCAGAGGTCATTTAAAGGTGCATGCATCTTCAGTGCAACCTAACGGCTGGTCTAAAGCCGAATCTCGTAAATAAAGTGTCAATTTACCACAAGTTCAGATCCAAACTAATTTCCTCTGAGCTGCACAAAGGGATTTTGTTTTGACTGGGATTTTGTCTGGATCAGATACCTGGTGGGAGATAAGGTCAAAAGAGAAACTTTTAAACCTCACCCATTGGTGCACGCTCTTAAGGAATAATCTCTGCTATATTTTGTAGCCTTTGGTTTGTTTACCTTAAAAAAGGCTTTGCTTATAGGAAATTGTTGAAAATTGCTGTACAGAGGTCTTCTGTCAAAGCCGTTTGCAACAGAGAGCCTCGTAGCATGAAGATGTCAAAAATTTGAATCTATTCAAATCTAACGTCACCGTCAGGCTAATGGTTAAAGGACAGGAAATCCTGTCCTTAAGGCCACCTCTGATTTTACCCTCGTAGACCTCAGCAAATGCATAGTCCACATTGAGCCCAATGGAGATTAGGCTTCTATACATATTTGACTGGAAGAGAAATACTTTGAATTAGAAAAACAGTTTGCACCCATGCTTTTATCTATGTATCAGTATTTAATTCCAACTTTAGAGCTCTGGGCTAATTTCAAATGTCTCTACTTTCAGACTGCAGGTGTTTTTCTTGTCTTTTTCTTTAAACAAACAACAGAAAAAAACAACAACACAGTTTTGCTGCTGTCAACCCAAGCATAGGAGGAATTCAGGATGAAAATTAGGATATTCAAGGAATAGGTTGACCTTTAGAGAGGGATTCAGTTTTTCTCTCTAATGAGTTGGATTGCAAGATCAATACTTCTCTATATTCTCTTGAGGGATTATAAACAAAAAAAAAGCTAGAAATGAAGAAAGTCTGCTGTACCTCAGGTTAGGTTTTTGGTTACAGAATTTATAAACCACTTTAAAGCCCTTTAAAACCCAATGTAGTGATGTAATAAATCAAGCATACTCCATACAGCTTTGATAAAAACATACATTTCCTAAACTTGACATCTAACAAGTGTTATTTACTTGACAACATGCAAACACTTTATTTAGATATTCAATATTGTCCAAGCTGAAAAACCAACATCTAGGTAGGCTACTGCAGAGAACATGGAAAACATGATGAAGATTGGTTTGGATGCAAAGCACTCAGTTGGAATATGTTTTCCTCCATTACTCACTGATAGCTGTTTTGGCTTTCTCCTCAGTGCCAAATGATCTGAGATTAGTTTCATTGTGAAATTGAGCTATACGAACAAAACTGAATAGACCCAAAATGATCCTGATGAATCATGCAGCTCAGGAAAGGCCGGGGTTTCCTGGGCTCAGTACGGTTATGTGCTGTAAATGTTGGTAAATTTAGGAAGGCATTGAGGTGTGAAAGTAGATGGACTCTGCCAAAGCCTAATTTCATGTTATCATAACCTCCAGTGGCCACCAGCGAGTTCCAACTGCTAAAAAAGCGTCATAGAGAAAAGGCAGTCAGCGAACCTGATTCCATAAATGAAAGCAAAGCAAGATGCATCATAATATCATCTTACCTTTCTGGGGAGTATACAATGAGACATGCAGTCATCTGTGTGTGTCTCTGATTATGTGTGAGGGTGTTTATGTAACAGGACAGCTAGTCATTTGTTCACTGTGGGAGACTGGGACACAGTGGTTGGTCATATGACTTATCCTGCTGAGTCAGAACATAATGATGTCCTGATGCTGCTCAGACCAGCCTCAGTTGCACTCAAGGGCAGAACTCCATCCTGCTGTGTCAAGCTTCTTGCTGTTTTCCCATCAGTGGTTCTCCTTTCCAAACAGATGCTTAAGCAACTTATTGGAAGTCATAGTTTGGTTAAAAGTAATAAAAGCAATACCTTTGGTTTAAAGAATACCTTTTGATCAGATATGCACAACCTAGTCTATTCATAGTTGCTCTGTAGTTTTTTGCTTGTTTAACTGGGAGACCAAAAAAACAATCCAGAACTAGACATTTGACATCTATCTGATTGATGGCACTTGAATATGGAGAAGTTGGTTTTACTATTTGCCCTTGACACTAAGCATACCACCCTACAAAGTGTAGGTTATTGCTAATGCCTAAAAGTATCAGATTGTAATGTCACACAAAGTTATCAGAAACATAAGGTTTGATTGTCAAATTTCAAAAGAAAAAGAAAAAATCATACTATTTCCTGAGCTATAGAAAAGCAATTGATGGCAACTATTGCTTCTAATTCTTCTGAGCAACTAGAATGGACCTATAGTGACCACATATATATATTACATCCTCTGCTCCTGTCCAATCAGTTCCTTTGCAGAACATCTCTGTTAAACTATGAAAAGAAATGCCTACTACATTTGCAGTACCACTGTGGTGCTCCTGTCTAAGTTCCTGTAGCCTTAGGAGAGCACGTATGAGAGGTCCAGCCAGAGATGGGTGAACTCTTTTGAAACCTTGCCAAGAATGGTAACCAATTTAACTGTTGAGTGTAAACGGAACGCAGCTGAACTACACTATGCCAGACACAACCAAACCGCTGAACCTAGAACTAGTTTAACAGTGGGGCTCGTTATGGTTTAGTTATGGTTCGGTTTTCTGATAGCAAAGAGTGCATGACCACAATGCGTCATCTCTGATTTACTCTCAGTTTAGACTAATTTCTGTTTTTCTGACATTTCTTGCTTTGCAATTTAAATATCTCTTCACCTGTTAACAACACAAACTTCTTCTGCCTATCAACAATAAATGGCATCAAAGGGGTGTTGTGGGACTTGGGATTATGCCAAGAACGAGGCTCTCATTGAAATTTTGGCAGAGGATGCTATCCAGGCACATACGTTCCTGAATGTTATGGGTGCTTCCATTTTGTTTGCGTAATTTCTGCCTCGAGAGCTGTAGTATCGTGGACCGCTGATAGGACGCTAGGAACTATGCTAGCGTGATGTGTAAATGGTCCTAAAAACCAAGCTCAGCACGGTTAAATGATCCAAGTTCACTTCTGAAGTCGGCATGGATCAGTTTCAGCGTATGGTAAATGGGGCAATAGTTTGACCTTGAAGGATGGAGAGCGGTTCTGTGGACGATGATGTTTGGACTTGTCACGAAGAATGTGGAACTGTTCTGGTTAATTAGCATAATTATAATTGCTGGAAAGAGCAGAACTATCATGAAAGGATGTCTATCCCTTTCCTTCACAGACAGGTACGTTCAGGTCAGTATGCCCAAATCTGACTGACTTGATCAAAACATGTTTTCAGATGAAAGCGCTTCAAGATAGCAGCAAAAACCACCACTTGTATGTATAAACCACTGCTTACTTACACAAAAACACTTTTAGTTTGATTGGCCCTTTGTTCTAAATACTTATGTCCATGTGAGCATACCTAATAACTTGTCCGGAAAGAAAGGAGCCAGAACATGATTTAATGCTCTGATTTATTTATGTCCAGAACAGAAAAAAGTTGATTAAGAAGTGGTGTTTATGGAGGAGTCCAAAGGATAAAAAAAAAAAAAAAAACGTATAAGGCAAAAAGAAAACAAATACGTGTACTCCCTAAAATATTTAAAAAACGTAAAAAATATTTTTTAGAAATATGTTTATCATTTAGGAGAAGCTTTTTTATTTACTGAGGTTGCATCTGATAATAAAAATGACTTTGCTCTAAAATATTTGTGACAGACCCTCAAAAACATCTGTGAGTATTAAAGTATGTTTCTACTGCTCTGTAAAACTACTGTTTCCATATGTTGTGAGAAGGAAATATTTTTGCTGATTTAACTTGGTTTCTCTGTCCCTGACTTGGAAATGCCATTGCTTAAATCTTTAAACTGTGGGAAGTGTCACTACTCTTAAATCACCCTTCTGGCAGAGTATGAGTTTACTGTAGCTTTCCACTCTGCCACTCAATCTGTCACATGGCTGCCACTTCCTCCTCAGGGCCTCCTCTCCTGAGAGCTGGCCTGTCAGCTGAGACAATGTGGGTTAGAGGTGTGAGATGTAGCCAGGATATGGAGGAGCAGCAGAAGGCTAAATATGAGCTCTGTTAAAATGAGAAAAAAAAAAAAAAACATGGTGCTCTTTGAGGAGTCATTATCATTGGAGGGGAATGAAAATGGAAATGTTTTGATCTTTATTCTTTATCATCATTTAAGAAAACTGAAGACTTTCTTAACCTTTGCCGACACTGAGCCATAAGTGATGAACCGTGAAGATGAGACATTACAGCTCGGTAGCATCGTCATTATGGTCCACACACCTTTTATTGACTTTCCTTGAGATGAGGAAAGGGCTCTTATATATAGAATCATCTAGCTGAACCATGTTGACCAAATACACACACTTTAACGCAGTTATCCACCCACTTCTATAAACAATGACGACTCTGGCAGCCTATTTTGCTGATGGATGCGCCTTTGACTTTATGGGCTCCTTCTCCATCTGCAGGAGGCTGACATGGTTGGTTTCCTACGTTTGGAAAGAGTTAGCTGATGTGAATGGATTGACTTGTGTATCGATAACTCTCTCCTCTTGTCTGTTGTTGGATTTTTTTTATGGCCCCAGGGGGACAGACTGCTGAGGTTAAAAGTTAGAGAGCACAGCAGAGAAATCTGGCTAGAGATTTTATTTTTGGAGGACGATGAGCAGACCTTCATGCCTCAGTGTTTGGAAATAAATTGCAAGCATATCACTGAGACATAGGCTCTTTTCTTGGATCAAGGTTAAGGCTTGCAGGACTGTTATTTGGATGCAATATAGGCCTTTATGTGACAATGTGCAATTTAATCTAGTTTTCTATTGATGAGTTCATAAAATGTTACCTACCAGAGAATTTAAGTTCATACCCAAAAATAAGAGATAAACAAAAAAAAAATAAACATAGAACATGGACTGGATGCAGAAAGACCGAAAATAAATAACTTAATGTCAAGCAAAAGGAAGATCTTCTTTGTGGACGATCACAAAGTGCAGCTTAGCTTTGCTGTTGTTGCTGCTCTATCTCCATCACCTCCTGGATATAAACCATCTAATAATTTCATACCTGTGATACTAAGAACCCACAATTATTAGACATTTCAGTGCATTATGGTGACATCTCATTTAACCCATCTTTTTGTGATAGTCATCAGTTTTAATTTCCTTTTTTGTTTTAAGGGGCACCAATGTTTCACATTAAAAAAAGTGAATGTATGGCAACCTATTGTTTTTATAAAACTTTTTTTTTAATTATATATAAAACTACCAGGGCAGGTCGATTTTGCAAGAAATCAGAATTGTGATTATATTTGAGCATCTTTTGTGTTTTATTTTATTGTGATTTCCTTTTGCACTAACCACACGCATGTGGATGTTCCATTTCAGCTTTTAAGTTTTTCTTGACATTTTTTCTTGACATTGACAACTTGCTCATCCAGAGTCCATTTCTGCTGGACATTTCTTTAACTGGTGTGCAAAAAAGTTCTTATTTCTGCTATCATGCATGGATCTACATCTCTCTCTTCCGTTCTGTGTGGCAGTAAACTCACTTTAAGTTTATTACCCCCATCTAATGTGCTGGAGGGAGAAATGTAGCCTTAATAGATATTTATATATGAAGTTAAAAATATTTCACAGTAAATTATATACAGTATATCATATCAACATTTACTTTGGACAAGATGAAATGAAAACAGTTGTCTTTTTCAATTTAAGTGATAATGCGTTGTGTTTAAAAGTGTCTCAGTTGTTAAAAAAACTTTTTAACTTATCCTTGCATAAGTTGTTTGTTTAAGCTTTGTTTAAACAATCCAAGTGCTGGCTAAGGTCTCTGCTCTAATGTTGGATACTGACAATGCATTTATTTAAATACTGCTGTGTACTTCTTCTTATAAAGTGTATTGATGAAGGAAGGGTAAGACACTGTGGTCTGGGAGTGAAAAGGCCTCGACTGGTACTTTTTTCATCTTATTGAGCCTTTTAGCAGCCCGATTGGATCAATTAGAGGCCTTTTATAAATGCAAGCCCTAGCTCATGATTTAGCCAGCTTTCATTAGCTTATCGGTGGTGTAAATAGGCTTAGGGTGAAGGTGTCCTTTCCTTGGATTAATTGCATACTTCTTCTTTTAATCTTTACTGCAACTTTATGGGTTATTTGTGCAATTTATTTATTGTGTTTTCTATCATACTCTTAACGAGAAGTCGTTTAAGACTATTAGAATTCAAAAAGATTAGGAGTGTTGAGTAAACTTACACTTACTGCTTGAATTGTGGATCCAAGTGCAGCTTGCTTTCTGGGAGAGAAAGTCTCCTATGACGAGAAAACATCCTGCTGTTCATTTGGCAGCACAGAGTAATTCACTCTTTTGATGAAAGACAATCATTATAGTAGCTGGATGAACATGCAAGGAACTCACAAGCATGAATAATGGTGTATAAAGTTGTCATCGTTATGTTTTTCCTTGGTTTTTTTGTGGCAGTCTTTCTTTTTTTTTATTAAACCCGTTAATCCTCTATTAGATGGAATATAATGGATAAATGATATCGTTGGATGTGAGAGGGTTTCCAACATGTTGATTTGTTGTTTAACTTTTAATCATGTTTATTGATTGCAATATTTTTGTATATAAAATCTTTCAAAAC